AAGAGGGTGAAGAGGTAGCTTGTAGGTAGATGACAGCAACCTGGGTGTGTTCACCCAGGTTGCTGTCAAGCTGATCAGGAGTCACAGAGTCATGGCACCAGTGTCTTACTTAGTTGTTGGTCACCTAGTACAACAAAGAACGAAAAACTCCTCACAATGTGACTGACTGCAGGCAAGTGGTCCGACAGGCTGAAAAATAAAAGACACAGTTAGCGCCGTGACTGAGTGGTCAGCCATGAACACCATCTGGCGCAGCTCCCACCCATAGGGTCACACTTTTCCAGCCCAACCACAAGAAAACTTTACAGATTATATTTGTAGATGTTAAATATTCTTACAATAGCTTACTTCATTAATAGTTGAACTAGAAAAATATGACCCTACGTAAAAAAAGAATTGAACTCTCTCGCACCTGCCTCCACCAGCACTCCTCAGAATTCTTGTGGGGGAAGCGGCGAGAGTGCCTGAAGGACCTGTTGCATGCAGTCTCTCATCACACCACTAGATGGCTCCAAACATATGTGTTAATTAAAAATCTCATAAATGCATACAATTATTATAATTATTTTGGTTAAAATTCACATAAATATACATATAGTTTTTTCTCTCTGTTATAAGGCTCCTATAAAGAAAAGGACTGGTGACCTTTAGTGGAGGATCCTTCACGGCTCCATTGCAACAAACTTTTTTTTATCGGTCATCAGTGCTGGGGTTTTAAATGAGTGTCCTTTTTGCAGTTTGTCTAAGTGTTTTTCATGTTTTTATGGATTGTGTACAGTTGACTGGTTTTTTAAAAATTTTTATGAAGATTTTTTAGCCTCGTTGGCGTGGTTTTTACCAATTGTATTTCTATTAACGGTGTGCATTACACTCAAGCCACTAGTTTTAAATCAATTATTTAATTGCAGAAGCAAAAATATCTATTTATTTAACTCAACGGGACAAATTGCAGGCTGGACCTCAACTTGATACCATGGCTCTGTGGAAGTGTAACATCAAGGCCACAGAGCCACCGGGGATTTAAAGAGGGTTTTTTTTACAACTGTGGGGTTTTAAGAATGCATTGTCCTTGTTTCTTCTTTTATGTTCAGTCACATTAAATTATTAAAATGAGAGAAAACAGCCACTTCCAACTGTACACATATTTCAACACAAATGGTTCATGTTCCTCTTCAGGGTCTGCAGCCTTGCTGAGCTCCTCTCCTGGGGTTTCCTCCTCAGCCTCTCCAACTTGCTCCTCTTCTGTTGCCTCCGCTACTCTGTTTTTATTATTTACCTCTTCTGGGGTAAATAATCAAAACAGTCTCTGTAACCTGTTAATCCACCATGGTTTTGCTGTATCGCCTCTTTAATTGACACGCCTGTCGGTCCGATGTTGTGGCGTTTACCTCGCTGTGACCAATATTCAGCGCTGGAACCCAGTCAGGATTGAGCTCATCCATTTCATATGTCGGTTTGCCTTTAAGAGGACATATCAGAACACACATCAGTATTAATACTGTAAATCTGATAACACTAAAAAAGTTAAATTGTTTAATTCACAATAATGTAAGAACCTCGATGTCCACTGACAAAACTTGGACTATGCTACATAAACAATATAAGCCCGACCTAAACAAGGTTGACCCACTTAAATGAACTCAACAGAAACTGATCATGAGTACACTCGGACAAAACCATAGCAAAAAATTATGACACAGCACCAACAAAGCGAATTTAGACACTCACCAGAATAAAAATGTCTGGAGCAAACTTGTAGGTATCTGGGGATGTTGGAGAAGGTAATATCAGGACGTCGCAACCGCTGACACCAGGACATTCGTCTTCTTTTCATTAGCTCCGATAGCTTAGCCTCCACGCGTTGTTTCCAAGCAGGAAAATAGTGAAAAGAAAGTCCATTTTCCATGTTTTTACCATTTCAGTCGTGTGATCGGACATTACATCCAATAACGCAGCAAAGTCGTACCATAGCTAAATTATTTTAAGTAACTTGGATTAAAAAAAATCTGCGAGACTGTTGTTTTTGTCAGTTATGTTTATGGGCCCCAAAGATGGCACTGATATTCCTCTGTCTTCAGCAGTGACGTCACGTTCCAAAGCTCTATCGGCTATTGATGTTGTTTATGTTCAAAAGTGGGTAGTACTTGTTACATTCACTTGAGTAACATTTTTGGAAAAGGAACATGGAGTTAATACAGAAGTTGATATAATGTGTCAATGTCCTACATATTCGACTCACAGAGTGCCTGCCAGTCAGTGGCCTCAAAACATCGTTGCCATCATCTTTGATCATGTCCCTGACTGCTGTTTCTTCCTACATCCAGTCACTGGATGGGTTGCTAGCCACACAGGCACAGCTGCTAGAAGGAAACAAACGCACACTGTACCACACTTTCATTTTGTTAGCTGAGAGGTTGCCAGGCAACGGTGCATTTTTGTTCCAGAAGCAAGCAGAAAATGTTTCATAAGTGAATAGAGAGTCCAAGCAGAGATTAAGTGTGAGCATGAGGATAGGTTTTGAGTACAAATGCTACAAGTTTTGAGAAGAAAGTCATGAAGACATGAAAGTTTTATTGCTTTCAAAATAAAACTGTAAGTAAAAGTATTAAAGGTTTTGAGAACAAAAGACATGTAAGCATGCTTTTAGATTGAAAATGTGTGCTGTTGGATTATGGCAGAAAAATTCTCCCATACTTGAGCTCTGCAAGCCGAGCAGAGAATTATTTTGCGAGTACTAATAAGCCTCCCCTGAACACAACGGTGGGTGATGAGCTAAACTCCTGCTCTGTTAGTGATGTCAGAGAGTCAGTCTTTCAGTTGCCTTTTTTATTATTATTATTATTGGTAATGGAACTAAAACAAACAGAATTGTGCAACTCGTTGTTGAAGCAATAATTACTGAGGTTATTATTTTTGCTGGGTCATTATTAATTTGAAAATGTTTTATTTTTTTTAATTCTTTAATAAAATTACAAATGTTTCGCATCTTAGTGAATATTTTGATAAGCACGTCAGAAGAGGACGTGCTGGTCTCAGCCTCCTGGCAGTGTTCAGTTTGTCACCTACTGCCGAGATTGATTCAGAACCTTCCACGTATTGAGCACCCCTGTGTTAAACTATTATGGTGTCAATAAAGGTGTCAAAACCATATTTATTTAAAATAATCCGAGAAATAAAAGGAATATAAAATATTTGGAAGAGCCACAAAGATTTTTGAAACAATTTCTCTGCCTTACCCATTTGTTTGCTCTTTCATTATGGTGAGAGAGCAAACAATTTTATTAGGAGATTTTAGTATTCATTGACAACCCTAACCTCCCTCAATTTTTTTATCTTGTCTGGACAGTTAGAAGCCTGGAATCATTATGTAGAAAATTTGATATCACCCTTAACTGTCTAGTCTTTTAATATAGGAGGGGATGCATTTTTTGGCAACACAATTTCTGAGCCTACCAATATCTGCATCCCCAATCTATTGTCCTATTGATATGAAACTTATATCAACAGCTGATAGAACAAGTGTAATTATGTAGAAAAGGTGAAATCCCTCTTAATTATATTTCTCCATATAAGCGGGGGGATGTATTTTTTGGCAAAGCAAATTACCTTGCCGATATTTACATCCTTTATCTATTTTCCCAAAATATTATAGATAATAAAGTCTAAAGTTATTACAGGAAAATCTGTAATGACTGTATGAAACTGATATCTTAAATCTTTTTGTGGGAGTGGGATTTTGTTCTTATTTTCTTTAGAGATATCAACATGACTTAAACAAATGTTTTCTTCTCAGGCTCGAGGGTAAGAAAATTTATGTCAGAGTGACACTTATGAATTTCTTTTAACATTTGGTCTATAAAGTCACAACATTCATAGTTTCTTTTAAGAAGGACATTTTAGTTCCATTAGTCTTTTTATTTTTCACAATGTAGTGTTAGGCTTTTTTCCCTATATTTTTAATGTATGCCGTATGTTTGTCCATAACTTGATCGTTGTTGGCATATTAGCTCCACTTAATACCAAACTAACTGTTAGCCATTTAAAAGACATTATTTTTTTTTTCCAAGTAACAGCTGAATATATAATCATGTCTCTAATTGACTGTTAAATTGAATATTAGTACATTTTAATGTGTAATTTTTGCCGTCCTGAAAATATGGTAACATTCACAGAGCAAGCTGTGTCTGTCAAAAAACAACAAAAAAATCAGTTTTCAAATGTAAAGTATTGAAATAATTTTCTTTTAACTCTACTGAACATGTGTGATTACATCAAATTTTGCTCTGTATTCAACAAGTCATAACAAAACACATTTGAGCAGTTAAATGTCTCCAGCGATGACTTTGGTAAGCAAAAATACCTTTACTGTACATTTAAAATAATTTTTTGTTGCAGTTGTACTTTTTACCAGCACAAAAGCCTAAATGGTGAGTAGCCTTGCCATTTTGGATGTCATAGTTGCAACACGGATAAACTGTCCCAATTTTCAGATTTTTTGCACATTTGTAACCCAGTCACTCAAACCCTTATGTTCACTTCAATTTAGTCCACACTTCATAGAGGTGCAGGCTGAGTATTGGGACTGGGCCCAAGTACACAAGTCTGCCTGGATATGTGCAGGCTTAGCAGAAGTTCGGAAATCCGACCCTAAAGGGGTGAGGTGAAACACAGATGTGAAGAATTAGGACACACTACACACTCAGGCCCTTCAACATGAACATGCATTTGAAGGACACAAGGGCTGAACAAGGTTTGAGGGTGTGAGTATTGGCCTAAAGGTTACCTCCGTTGCTGCTGTTATTTTCATTGACTCGTCGTATTAACAACCTTTTTCACATGTGGTATAAAATAAATTTCTTGTTTAATGGAAACACTGCAATTGCAAAAAAAAAAAAAAATAAAATTTCCCGACATTAACATAAAATAGACAAAAATTTACACACATTTTGTAAAGGAAACACATCTATGGACGCACTAACAAGAAGGTGCTGCTGAGAGACGGCAGCAGCTTCTACAGTGAGAAGGTGTGAGTGCATGATTGGTTACAGCTGTGCAGCTCTGCGGGTGCAGAAACAGCCCTGACATCTTAATTAGGCCATATTGTGGAGGACCATGGATGATCTGGCTTTGGAACGTTACTTTGACGATTCTATTGCAAATGTGAGTATATAGCCCTGTGCTGGAAAAGTGGATTTAAGCATTTCTATGCTGGTCCTGGACCTGAGGTGGGAGGGAAACTTAAGTGTTTTCACAAGCCAATCTTATGGAGTAAAACATGGTTTTAAGTTTAAGCATTTTGCAGTTTAAAATGCAAAAATAAATAAATAAATAAACCAGCTTAAGATTTAAGGACATAGATTTACTGTGAGTCATTTAGTGTTGTACTTTAAAAAAAAATCTAACAGATTTTTTAAGAAGTCCTCAACATGATTTTATAGGTGGGAGCATAATAATTTATAATCATTTGTCTTGTATAATATTTCTGTTGTCTTTTAACCTGAATTTTGTGTTTTTTTTTCATAACCACTGAAATAAACGGATGACGTATGTAATGCTTTGTGGAATGAGTTTAACATGTCGAATTGAAATGCTGAAATAACTTTTCAGTGATATTCAATTTAATAGAGATGCACTTGGCTACAAATTTCTGACATTCTGGGTCCAGATGGATATTTTGCTCAGACATCTAAAAGTTTGGTTTACATCAGTGACAGTGTTTCATTTAGTGTTGTACAATATTGGTCACTAACTTAATCTTAGAACAACTTAGCTGGAGTCTGAAATTAATTGTTTGGAAATATTCAAAACAGTAGACCAATAAATATTTCTGTAGTGAGATTGGAAATTGTAGTTGAAAACCCAGGTCAGCTGACAGCTTTGCCTGGTAATCTTATTGGACCTCCTTGCTCACAGCATTTGGTTACTATTAGAAATGACCTATAGGACTTCCAGACACAAACAGACAAAATGGCAATGGCCAACCATTATGATTGATAAGCAACAGAGGACAGCTGCTGTGTTTGATGGGCAGTAGAAGGATCTGTAGTGCCTGTGGTCATTTGGAGCACTTGGGTCACACTGGAGAAGTGGCTTCAAATTGTGGCTCTAGAGAGACATCATTAAGGGCAGTTTGAAAGAAGGATCATTGAAATGGTTTTATGTAACTTATTTTTTCCATCACCAACAGCTTATTTTGAAATCAATATTCTTGGCAAGGCAACTTTATTTATATAGCAACTTTCAGCCGGAGACGATTCAAAGTGCTTGTACAAAAAAAAGTTAACATGCAACTAGAAAAAATTAAATCAAGCAGATTAAAATTAAACAAAGTAAACATTTAGAATTTTAAATGTAGTGAATCAATAGCATTAAGTAAAATTTAAGAAGGGGCAACTTCAAATAAAAATGTTTTTAACCTTGTTTTAAATAAACTCAAGGTTGGGACAGACTTATAATGAGCAGGACGCTTATTCCAGAGAGCTGGAGCATAAAAACTAAAAGCTGCTTCACCATGTTCAGTTCTGACTCTCGGAATAATTAGGAGTTTTGACTCTGATGATCTTAAAGGTCTGACTGATATGTAAGGCTGAAGAAGATCAGAAATATAGTCTGGGTTTTTATTATGTAGAGCTTTATAAACCATTAAATAAATTTTAAATTATATTCTTTGAGCAACTGGCAGCCAGTGCAAGGACAATATTCTTGGCCATAATTTGATAGTGTTAGGTCTCAATTCTGGTACGCTCTGCCCCCTGCTGGCAGCCCCACGTAACCCTTCTTCACTTTGTTTTCCTGCAGGACCCGAGCTACATGGTTGAGGAGGAGCTTGATCTTCAAAGCTCTCTCAAACAGTCACATGAATCACGCACCAACTCACGGAATTCATCCAACCTATTGGGTGAGACTGAAACAAGTGGCAGGTTGGGTAATGATCTAGACCTCAGCTTCCTACCCGATGACCTCGGCAATCAAAGCTCTAGCAGCACAGGTAGTAAAGGGGTATGCTATTATCCAATTAGCTGTTCTTTTTTTATTTTTTATTTATTTTTTTGTTCATAAGGGCATGTTAATTCAGGAGCAAGTGCTACTTGTACAGCACATTTTACAACACATCTGTGTCCCAGACAAAGATGAAAGAATATTAGTTCAAAAGAAATACTGTGTATCCTGACGAGGAAGAGAGGAGCAGGCCCTGATAAAGAGACCAAGGTGAGACATGGTGTTACTGAGCTGCTGGAAAGATTTTTAGTTATTTCCAGTGAAAAAGAAGATGGTCTTGCCAGTAAGGAACACTAAAACATCTAATCAATTAGCTGTAAACTGATTGTAATCAAGTGGAAGCCCAAATATGGCACCATGGGTGGTGGGTTTATTAAATTTTTTGTAGAAGGAAGGAATCTCCCCAGCCACATCGAGGACTGAGGCCTCCATATGTGGGTTCTGCTTATAACCCCTGCGCCACCACAGCACACTTGTCAGTGTTGTTTCAATATGTTTGTTATTTGTAGCAATATTCAACTTTGCCATCATCAATACATTTAAAAACAAGTCTTTGTGCAAAATGGCCCAAAACATGAACAGTTCTCTGAGAGGAAAATAAAGGTTTGTTGTTCCCATCTTTTCAGTGGCTGGAGTTAGCCTGCTTGTTGCTGCAGATCTTCTCAAATATGGGTTGCAGTTGTGACACTGCAACCCTGAGTTCATTTTCAATGTCCAGCTTTGATCTGTATTTGGTCTTGATTGAGGCCACAGCAGAAAAACCTATTTCACATAAGTAGGATGTGGCAAAAGAAGTGTGGCCAGTGCTCTTTCCTGGCAGAGGGTAATTTTTCTCCACAGCCAGTGTCTTTGACCTAAACTGCATCCTCATTGTTGAAGCAATGAACTGCTCCTCTTCTGATGTGCTGAAGTTGGCAGGTGGTGTTGCATTGAAGGGATCACGGATCCAGTTATATTCTTTGGAATTCTGCACCGGGAAATATTTCTGGAAATGTTTCTGAAGGGCAGAAATGTGTGCTTTCATTAGGGCCAGCCCAAGGCATAAGCAAATTAAGCAGCTGCTTAGGGGCCCAGGGCTCAAACTGTCCTGGAATGGGTTCTTACAAATAACAGGCCTCCCTTTGCAAAGATAAAGAAGTGCTCTGTAGAGCATAGACACTTTTGGAGGGAGTTTCCAAAACTAATTGTTAGTGACTCTCTTCTCTGTCGGCAGGTTCGGCATCCCCCTGGCGATCCTGTTGTGCAGATTGTTGTTCCAAGTGGTTTGCAAAAGGAAGTGTTCAGGGCACTACATGGTCATTCTCTTGCTGGACATTTTGATGCAGTAAAGACTTTACAGTATGCTCAAGCTAGGTGCTACTGGCCTTACATGTCTCGGGATATAACTGAGTGGTGTTTAGAATGTGTGGTGTGCGAGGCACGGCGGCCGCCAACGCCCCGTCAGCAGGCCCCTTTGAAGCCTCTTGTCTCAAAACAATTTGAAAAAATAGCAAAGGATTTCACTGAATTGCCCCTCACTACTTATGGAAACAGATACATGCTTGTTGTAATGGACTATTTCACGAAGTACATTAACCTGTATGCACTTCCTGACCAGAAAACTGTTACTGTAGCCAAGTGTGTGTTTGAGGACTACATTTGTCGCCATGGTGTTCCCCATAGCCTACACACTGACCAGGGACGCCAGTTTGACTCAAACCTTATTAAATGTCTGTGTTTGAGTATGGGTGTACACAAAACAAGGACATCTCCATATCATTCAATGTCAAGTGGAACGGGCTAACACAGTGGTTCAACTAGAGCCCAACTAGGCTCTAGTTGGGTCACCCCTATGTCTTGAATTTGGGGGGGGGGGTGAATCATATTTTATTTATCACTACAGAAGGGTTCAGTGACTGCGTATATGAAACTGGTGGGTTCGGTACCTCAAAAAAGGTGAAGAATCACTGGGCTAACAGATCAATAAAAGACCAGTTAGCCAAGTACCTTTACTCAAAAGAGGGTGAGTGGGATAAACACATGAAACGGGTTGAGTTTGCATACAACACTTGTGTACACTCCACTACAAATTTCACCCCATTCTTTTTGGTTCATGGTAGGGAGGCTCGTTTACCCGCCGATCTTTTCCTTAGTGCTCCCACTAACAATGAGCACACACCTACATGTGCACCTAATGAGTATACTACTAGTCTCCTAAACGAACTGTGTTCTGCTTTTGACACTGCAGCTGCTAACATCACTGCTACAGCCATACAACAGAAGCACTATTATGACAGGCAAGTGAGACATGAAGCTTATGATCCTGGGGATCTAGTGTAGGTTGACGTCCCCTCTTTGTCTATACAGAAGTTGGCTCTTAGATGGACTGGTCCTTTCAAAGTTTTAAAACGGCTCGATTTTGAGGCGGACATGGGCGTTGACTATGAGGTGTTAGATCAACTTGACCCCAGAGCTAAACCCAAAGTTGTTCACTACAACCGTCTCAAGCTGTATAGGTCCCCTGTACCCAGGTCACCTGACGGATGCTCCACCATGTACTGGGCCCCCCCACTCTAACTGCCCTCTCAGGCTCTAGGCCTTGGACATTTGAGTATAGTAGTATGGCAACACCTGACATGGCACATGTTACTCAATCTAGAGGTCAAAGTGAGGGCAATATTCCAGCTGCAGTAGCAGGGCCACCAGACAGTGCAGTTCCAACCCCAGTGAAACAACAAACTAGGTCTGGGCATCCCATTCGTCCTCCAGACAGGTATAGCCCTGACTTCTGAAGGGTTTTTACTTTATTCTTTTTCTTTCTTCACTGTTAAGCTATGACTTTTGGTAACTCTGATGCCCTGTTCAGAACGGTTTTTGAAGTCGCATTGTAATTTTTTTTCCCCTCTTCCTTGTTTCCTATGTTAACAGTTCATTCCTGTAAAAGTATAAGGGTTAGCGCTACATCAAGATCTACTGACGAAATCGATACGAAACTTCTGAAGAAGACCAGTGCAATTTCCTTCTTCACAAAAAGTAAACAAAAACGGAGCGGTGTCGCATTTTAGCGGTTGTAGGATTTCTTCATTGATCTACATTAGTTGTTTAGACATCGCCTGTTAGCTGCTAACGCGAGCGACGCTCCTGCAGGCGCCGTTACTGCGCGGTGAGTCTGTCCACTAAACCAGGCTGTTCCAATGCAGGATGAGCAGGAATCAGAAAATGTTTGTGGTGCCTTTATTTCTTACCCGACTTCTATAAAGATGGCTTAAATTAAAGCTGAGAAAATTGCTGACGTTGGTAAGTATTCTTCCTTGATATGTTTGGTTTCTATCAAGATGCAAGAGGATTAAGAAAATTGCTGTTTTATATTGGTGAATAATTAAATAATTGCTGCTGTTTTATTAGTTTGTCAAAATGTAATAAACCTTGACTGATATACTAGAATATGATTTAAAAGATTCAAGTCTATATCTGGAGAAGGTGGGCTTTCTCCTGTTGAGTATGGTGCATGTAGACTATAAAACGGGGTCCCCCAGTATTATATAGTAGGCTGCCCCAGTCATTGTTGACTCATGGCTGCTAAAAACTTTACAAGACCGACTGATTTTAGTAACATAGTGACTAAATCAGTGGTTCTTAACCTTTTTTGAGGTACC